ACGCACACACACACACACACACACACACACACAAACACACACACACAAACACACACACAACAGGTTACAGATGGAGTCTACTGGTTGGCAAGAGGATGGCGATTACAGATACAACTAAGGCTAGTGAAAAGACAACGAGGCATTGCATTAGTATCGTTTACATTTGAAATAAAATTTTTTTCGTATAAACATTGCAAATGAGATGCGATGTCACTTAATGAATAACACTGGGCACTTTTGGCGTCACTGTGCCTTGAGAGTGACTACACCTTGGCGCCCCAAGTCAGTTGTTTACATGTATTCATGTTGTCTGTATGATTAATATTGCGCCTCGGTCCGCAATCACGGCTGCACTTCTGAGATGCATAGCGTTTACCCGGGAGTTGGTTTACATATTCTAGACTTGTCCTTACAACTGGGTAACGTAATGGCAGTGACCAATAATGCTGCTGTTTGTGAGACCTTGGGTGCATAAGCCGTCCCCGTGTATGGTGTCCAAAAAGTGCTCAATGGAAGATTGATCAGCGAGCTGGGTGGGGCAACAAGTTAATGTAATTCTGCCTGAATTTATTTTTGGTGTTGTTCGAATATTATGGGGTCTTGCATTATCCTGATGGAAGAAGAAGTTCTGATACCTCTGAAAAAAAAAAGATTAAATAAATAAAATATATACATTATGGCACCACCAGAGGCATGGATATTTGCTTGATGTACCATTGTGCAGTGACACTATTCCCGTGGCCAACGTCGACATTTGAAAGATTACACTAGGCCCGATGATTAGCCTAACTGATTTAGGGCACTGAGTTAAACAAACCAAACAAAAGATCATCCTTCCCCAACACCCGAGTAGAAAAAAATGCCTACTCCTAAAGACCCCCGCCCCCTTATTAAACCCCATTTTTCACTACCGCTGCCTGTCACGTTAAACATAAGTTGGGTTACAGGTTTTAATATCATGGGTGGGGGAAAGACTCGACTAAAACTGCAGAAACCAAGTCATCGGAAATCTCGACCAGGTGGGTTCAACTGCAACGAGATGACCTTGATGTATTGCACGTCCCCTTAGGGTGCAATATTTTATCATTGACAAAGTAGCTAAACCAGGGTGGTCCCTTAACATGACTGCACTTTGGGCTATAGTGACGACAATTCCTATATGTTTGGTAAGTAAAAAAGATTGTTGGTAGGCGCAATTGGCAGTCCCCCTTCTTCACAATAAATATAGGCAAGGCTTAATAAAAAATTTAATGTTTCTTGAAGGTGAAGAAATAGAACAGCGTAGTAAGCCTAGCCTAAAAAGTATGAAAGCATACGTAGTCTAGATAGATAGATAGATAGATAGATAGATATATATATATATATATATATATATATATATGTTTTGAATGAATCATAAGCTAGACACCAGGCCAATGAGATCATAACACTACAGACGTACCTATCAGGTACATGTAGGCCTAGGCCTATACTTTAATTAATTCAAGGCTCTTCAAGTTGAAATGGCAGTTTGAATGGCTATTGACGATCATTGTAACAATAAAGATGGGCACCGTAAGAGTGCCTTTCAAATATAGGATTTAGAAGAGGAAAAACAATTTCTAGATATAAAAAAAAATTCTAGAAATATAGATCTAGATTGATTAATCATACGAGAGACTGAATTTTATAATAATTTATTATATTGACAAAATACTCGATACAGTAATACTCATTACTCGAGTTCAATTCCGAGTAACTAAAATCTCAAGAAAATACTTGCCAAACATAGGCCGAACTCTACTGAGAAAGCCTAGGCCGGACTCGATTTTACACGAAGAGCCCTGCTTTAATAAATTTAATGCGTTTAATCTATATTTCTTCAAAAGTGCACAGAGTATATAGTTATTATTTGGGATATTAATAACATCTATCCGACAAACCCAACCGTTGTTAAGCTTTTAGATGAAGTCATAGGCCTACTTTAAACATAACGATTGAACAAAATATTATTAGTGAGCATTGTGCCTTCTCCCAAGACTGCAATTATTTTGCAGACTGGCCTTACCTTACGTAGATAATAGATAATGTTAGAGCTGTTTAATAATATTTGTTACTTCTTTGTAAGCTCTGATTTAATAGTACTAAATCTAGTTTTGTCATTATCAGATAGCTGTTAGACAAGTAATGTTAGAGCTGTTTAATAATAATTGTTACTTCTTTGTAAGCTCTGATTTAATAGTAGATCTACTAAATCTAGTTTTGTCATTATCATCAGACAGTAGATAGCTGTTAGACACTCGATTAATCATATGACCACTTGAAATCGATTTAACCCCGATATTTAACTAGGCATCAAAAAGAATAATCGCACTATTCGAGGGTCAGAAACCGGCGCTCAGCGCTCGAGTGTTTGGTTACTTGTCTGGCCGACACATCAACAAAGCATCAACACACCCCTGTGCAACATGGCATTATGGGAAGCACACTTCATTTTTAGTGCTTAGCGATCATGTGTGTCGCGATTTGTTTTTAAAGAAAGCTTTTTGTTCGTGAGAGCCATACAGAAAGTTATTCTGTTCTACCAAGGATATTTTGTCAATATTAGCCTAAAGGTTTGTATTTTTGTACTTGATGGTTCTGAACTATTGCTGGAATCGGGAAAACTGTTGGAAGAGCAATAATTTGATGAAGCTGGCTGATGCATTGTTTTAGTCCAACTCTTTTGATGTCCATCAATTGTCAGAACGGACAGTGACTAGATCTAGATGATCTACTTCCGCATTTAGTTTTCAAGTTGGGTGCTGTTTCTTTCTTTGCTTGTTTTTTTTGTTGCTTTCAGACTCTAATCATCAATTAATTTTAATTAGGCTAAGGATACCTCGCCTGAGGTCGTGACTTTTCAAAATGGACGGATTCAACGGTGGTTTAGTCTGAAGTCGGAAAAGTGTGTAGATCTAGATCTAATCTAAGTACAGTGAAGACAGAGTAAGGCGATATATCTCAACTCAAGCTGTGACTGTCACTGGCACTGGTGTCCCGTACAAGTACAAGACCAAGAAGAGAGAAGGTCTTCAGATCTTCACAATTTAGATTTTGCACCTTTAGTGGGAATGTTTGAGGGGAGAATATTCTTTTTCAGTTCGAAACCTTACATATTTAAAGACAACCTTTTGTCCTCTTTTTGGTTTTTAAGAGTTGGCTAACAAATATAGATCTAGGTCATCTTTGTCTGGACTATCATGCCTCTCTATGGCTATGCCATCATGCCCATTGAATTGCCACTTTCTTTGTCAGTCACATATTATCTTCTTGTTCTTCAAATTCTTATAGAGACTATATTATTATATGTGAGGCATCCTGGTGAAATCAGGCGCTCGTCTAAATAATGAAATCAAAGAAATTGGCATTTTTCTGGTTGGCTGTTACTGTTGGGCAATTTATGGAAGAGGCTAGCCGTACTTAAAATGACGGCTAGACTGGCAGTCTAGCCGTACTTATTCTTAATATGATGGCTAGACTGACCATTAAAAAAAAAAAGGCCTACTGAATT